TTAAACTTAGCCTATATAGTAGACCCGTGTATAGAAAACGTCGTGGATATATCGTGGGTATACTAAGATCCTATTAGGGTTACGATAATACGATATCGAGGTTTAGCTATACGACGGTGGGTAATATCGGCCCGGTAGGGATCGATAGCGGGATTAATAAAGGCGGTAGCGATAGTAGCGACGGCAGTAGTGTCCGTTTCTAGCTTAGTAAGATAATCGAGCTTACGCTTACGGTGGTTTTATACCTTTATCCATTTAACGCGTTCGTCTAATTATTAATCCGTTAGAATAGCTAGGTTAACGTCTACGTGCGGGGGCAGGTTAGGATCCTATACGGGTCCCGTTATAGTTATAGGAGGAATAGGGATAGTGATAAGGGTAAAGGTAGTAGTAGAGGTAGTGCTAGCGATAGGAGTAGGTATAGGAGCAGGAATAGGTGCCGGTGTAGTAATAGAGGTAGGAGTAGTAGGAGTAGTGTTAGTTCCCGGCGTGTTCCCGTTATATTCCTCGTCGGCGTCCTCTATAAAGGCGGTTTCGCTATCGCGTAGCTATCGCTTAAACTGGCTAGCAGCCTTGTCGAAATCGAAGGTAGGATCGTTTATTTTATAATAGTTAGATATCTTAGTGACTCTCCTTAACGGTCTTCGCGCCCTTAGAGGGTAAAGCGATTAAAATATTAAATAGGTAGTCGTAAAGAGTGAGAAGGTAGGGTTAAGTAAGGAACCAGGTATAATCACGATAGGATTATAATAGGGTTAAAACGTGGGTATAGCCAAAGAGTTAGCTTAATCGCTAGCCTCCCTCTTCTAAGGGGAGGCTCTTCCGCTCCTTAAGACTATACTCCGCTACTCCTCGAGGACTACTTTATTTACTTCCTTAAGGGCTACCTTATTTACTTTAAGGGACTATTCTGTTTACTAGTATAATAACTGCTTTATTTATACCTTAAGGGGTCTTAGACTAGGCACGCCTAGACCCCTATAGGTTCATACTGGGGACCCATTATGACCACTGCTGCAGGCACCTGACAATATTCGTATAGCGGTTAAGTTTCTATTAGAACCCTTTAGACTCGCTAACTTTATTAACTTTACCTATAGCGATATCGCCGTTAATATCCTTAGCCGGTTTATAGGCAATAGGAATTAGTCGGTACGACTTACTAGCACTCTCTTATCTCTACGCGATCTTTTATACTTTATTAACCTACTCGGTATAAGTGTTAAGGAGGTCGGCTACTATTAGGCTATAATATAGCCTATCGTTTAGGGCGTTATCGAGGAATCATATCTTAATATAGTCTACCTAATTATAGCCTCTTACTTATACTAGGTTTTTGTAGAGGTAGGTAAGAAGCGCGTAAACGGCTAGTTAGGTTTTTACTTTATTAATTATAGGGCGTTAATAGCACGGACTTATTCGTTATAGTCCTTATATATACGGTTAAGGTAAGCTATAAAGTCATTTAGATTAAAATTACTATTTATACCTCTATTACTAAAAAAGGTATCAACCACCTATTAAGGCTAGGTATCTAAGCACGCGTGAATTAGATACTACGCCTCTTCGTTACTATAAAATAGCGGACTATTAAGTTTAAGCTTTAGTCGTATAGCTTAGGACTAAGCGGTGTATTCCGTGCGTTTTCCACTAAAGTTTACGGGGATAGCGACTTACTATACACGGTATAAGAGCGTAGGTACTAGTAGCGGGACGGGTATAATAGTCTTTACCTTTAGAGGCCTAGGTAAGGGTAAGGGCGTAATAACTAGGGTAGGCGTCGGGTGCGTGGTAGGTATAAGGTACGGGTTAAGTTAAGACCATTTAAGGGCTACTTATATACTAGTAAGTATATCGTGAATAGGGGTGATAGATATCCTTACCGCTTCCTATACATATTATAATACGTGTTTATCGATCTTATTATATAAGGTCCCTACGACTTACCCTTAGCGCCTTTGTAGGCTCGGGGCGAAGTGACTAGGACGTCCTTCTATATAAGCGTTAAAGCTTATAGTCTTATAAGTTCGAATATATAACGGCTTATTAAAAGTTATTCACGTATTAAGGCCGAAAATATAGTTTATTCGAATTAAGGAAGGAAAGGAGGAAAGGAAAAATATACATGGTGTATAGGCGGCTAAGTATATATAGGATCGGACGGGGTTTACTAGGAGGTCCGTGCTTCTTAGTCCCGGCCACTGCTGGGGACTATTCCGCGGGCTATGGCCCGTAATAGTATAGTATCAATCTATTAGTATATCGAAGGTAGTTATTTAGTGGTTTTTAATCCTACTAGTACCCTCGTAGTCGTAGTTATTAGTTAGAGATTAAATTATAGGTAAAATCTTCGTAGTATACGATACTTAAGAGCCTAAAATCGAGGCCTCTTATTGGTCCTTTTAATCTCACGGTCATGTTACTATAACCTTTACTAGGTAGTGACGAACTACCTACGATAATATAGTCTCCTCGCGTTACGGGTATAAAATCAGAAAAGCGGGAAAATTCGTTAAAGATATAAATAGTGGTACCGGAGTTAAGGATAGCCGAGGCTCGAAGAGAGTAACTAGTAGTAATACTCGCCGTAAAGGTGACGGCGTAGGAGACGCCGCTACGGATACTACTATAAACGAGTCACGCCTTTTTAAGCTATATAGAGTCCCGACTTATATCCTTCTTTACCTTCTTTGTAGCGCGTAGTTCTTATACTTCTGCGCGTATTACGGGGTTATATCTAAGGATCCGTTAGACGGTTATTTTAGTGCTATCGTGTATAATCTAACCGTCCGGTACTAGTTCCGGGAATAAGTAAGTAGTAGGCGTTAATATCGTGACTAGGCGTAGTATATACGCGATAGCGTTCCCCTTATCGGAGGGCAGATTTATATTATTTAGAAGAAGAGCGGTTAGCTAAAGTAATAGCTAAAGTAATAGAAGGTATAGCTATTAATATAGCGGAAGATACTATGGTAGCGGGATTCTTAGCTTTATTCTTCTCACGATTACCCTTTTTCCGGGGCTAAGTTAATGCCTTTAAGATATCTTTACCCTTATCGCTTCTAGTATATAGTGCAGGGAATACTATAGCGTAATAGTTACCGCGTTTTCCTTAGTCTTTAAGTCTAGTCTTAATATATCATTAACTAAGGGTTAAAGATCCTCGGGGGGGACTACTTCCTTATCTAAAAGGCGTCCCTCGGCCTTAGTCTAATCGCGGCTAGCTATCCCGCGGATCCCTCTAAAGAAGTCTACCACCTAAATATACGTTACGGTTATCGATATAACCTTTTCGAGGTACTTTAATAGTTCCTGCTATCTTACTAACTACTCCTATAGCTTCTTAAGGCTATTCGGAGTAATACGAATGTATTCGTTATATTCTTCGTAGATATCCACGCGGCGCGTAGTTATATAGTAAGCGGTATCGCGTTAAATAGCTTTATACGTCCCTTAAGGGGTGGCGTTAAATAGGAGTAGTTTACGGCTTTTATTAATAGTATTAATCTACTATGTTAGTACGGCGTTAATGCCTTTAGCGTATTTAACGTGGTTATCCCTCTATATCTTCTAACGCTATATCGTAGATTCGTAGGCACGCTACCTAGTAAGAGATAGATCTAATAGCTACGTAGGCATAGCGCCTGCTTATATAGTAGCGTTCGATGCTTAGAAGGTGTTATAGGAAGGTAAAATAGGGCGTTAAGGAGGGGGAATAGGATTATTAAGCCGTAGATAATCCTACACGTTATTATTAACGGCCGTAGCTTTAAAGTAGCTACTCCAGAGCTCCTAATTGGTAGTAGTAAAGGTAAAGGGTAGGTATTCACTTAGTAAGTAAGACTCTTAATTATCAGATAATACGTAGTTAAAAGCGTTCTAAAATAGGTTAAAAGTAATTAAGGCAATTATATATAATTATAACTGTGTCGGACCGTCAGGGAACCGCTGCTACCGTATTTTATATAGTATAGATTCTATCAGCGTCCACCCGGATTATAATCTTAGTAATCCGGCCCATTACATAAACGAAAAGACTATAGTCTATTCGATAACCAATAGTATCACGACAATAAGTATAACTAGATATATTAAGAGATAGGAACTTTCTATATAAAATACAGAAGTTTAGGTATACGAAAATAGGGGGACTTAGTACTCTCTAAAACCACCTTATAGCTCCTTAATATATTAAATAGTAACTAATAGCTATACAAAGTACCTCCTATATAGCGCGTATATATATACCGAGTAACTAAATCCTTTCCTATATAAAATAGCTATAAATAGATTCTAGATTAACCTAAAGATATCTTATAATAGTATTAAAATTTATTTTCGTAGTAGTGCTGTTAGTGCAGGTACGTACCTCGAACCTTTTTAAACTTCCTAAAAGGGTAGTTCACGAAGTACCACGTTATACGTTTTTTCAGGGGTTATATAGTATGTCACGGCCCCACTAATTAAAGCCCGGCAATTCAAACGTGATGGCCTGGTAGTCGGGCCCCACTGTTTCGGGGTGGCCGAGTCTATTTTTGGCGCTATGCAGCTCGCGCCTACTTTCCTTGTCGGAGTGAGCTTACCATGCCAGTCAATGTCTCTGCCGTGCTAAATCAACTCGACCCCTCTCTGTCACGCTCCTATATATTAACTAGAATAATCACCATATTCCATCCAGGCCATAATTCATTATTTGTTCCACTTTATTTTTGTTGCTTGCTTTCTCCCACCCCACGAAGTCACTGACAGTATTCCCTAAGGTACTTCACGCATGGCAAGTCATACCTTCTCCCCTCCCCCGGCACCCCTTCCTTTTGAAGCTGTCTGTTCACTGGTCCATGCTAATCCCATGTACGGTAGTATTGGTCCATCAACCAGCTGACACTGGTCTTCCTTCCCGGAACCTATTCGCTCTCCCCATAGGCAAAGACAAAAGGGAAAAGGTGTGGCGGACAGAAAGAAAGTCGGATCAAATCACACAGATAACAGTTCAATCCAAGATGGACGGAAAAAGACACCCAAGTTCATTTCAGCAGCTCGAGAAGCTCGGGGAAGGCACCTACGCTACAGTATGCATCACCTGAAGGCGCACAGAGGATCCGTGCACTAACATTCTCCCTTTCCTCTGCAAGGTCTTCAAAGGTCGGAATAGACAGACCGGTGAGCTCGTTGCTCTTAAAGAAATTCATCTCGACTCCGAGGAAGGAACGCCCTCGACTGCAATCCGGGAAATATCTCTCATGAAGGAATTAAAGCACGAAAACATAGTTGCCCTCCATGATGTCATACACACAGAGAACAAGCTCATGCTGGTTTTCGAATTTCTGGACGGCGACCTGAAGAAGTACATGGACACTCACGGGGACCGGGGCGCCCTCAAACCCCAGCAGATCAAGTCTTTCATGTACCAGCTCCTCAGGGGAATTGACTTCTGTCATCAGAACAGGGTGTTACACCGCGACCTAAAACCTCAGAACCTTCTTATTAACAGCAAAGGTCAACTGAAACTGGGTGACTTCGGCCTAGCTCGTGCTTTCGGCATCCCGGTGAACACCTTTTCCAATGAAGTCGTCACTTTGTGGTATCGTGCGCCCGACGTTCTTCTTGGCAGCAGGACCTATAATACAAGCATCGACATCTGGTCGGCTGGCTGTATCATGGCCGAGATGTACACCGGGAGGCCGTTATTTCCAGGAACGGCCAATGAGGACCAGCTTACTCGGATATTTCGCATCATGGGAACCCCTACTGAGAGGACATGGCCGGGCATCACGCAACTGCCCGAGTACAAGCCGACCTTCAGCTTGTATGCCACGCAGGATCTACGCCAGATCCTTCCGCAGATCGATCCCACGGGTATTGACTTGCTTCAACGCATGCTGCAGCTGCGTCCCGAACTTCGTATAAGTGCCCACGAAGCGCTGAAGCACCCCTGGTTTAACGATATCATCGTGCATCAACACCAGCAGCAGCAGGCTTTGCAGGCGCAAGCGAGAGCGTACTCTTCGACGCAGGGCTCTTATGAGGGCTACTAGTGACCAGACTGCAAGTGGCCCAGACTACTGCTGCCAAACAACTGCAGCAGCGAGGCGGGCAGCCTGCTCCTTACTCTGGAGATCACAGGTTCTTGAATCGTCTAAGGGGACACGCCCTGCCTGGGACTCGGTCGCATATGTATGGTTTTAAGCAAGGAAGACAGTCTTGGATCCACATGACAACAATAGGCTTGCCAATTCGTCGTTTAGTCAGTTCGCCCACAGCTGAGTATCATCAACATTGGCGGTACAGCTACAGAGCCCAAATTCTAGCGGGAAGAAAAAAAGAAATGACAAGCGGCTTGCCTTGCAGGATTAGTATTAGGCCATTTGCTGCAGTAGGAAGTAATTGCATGGCGCGCCAGCGACGTTTACAGCTTGGTCACCCTCATTCCAGACTTTGATTACTCTTTGTGCACGATGCTCCCGTCAACTGGGCTCTTGAAGCGACGTTGAGGAGGCTCCCTCTGCCAGGTTCTGGCCAATGCAAATGTAGGGTCGTCAGGCGGATAACCGGATGCACCCCTGAGACCGGCTACAGCACTCCTCACAGTCTCTGCTACTTCGATTCTAAGCTGTATCGCCTCACTGCCGTACTTGAGCTGCTCGGGATAGCTATGATCGACGAGAGGCCTGGCTTGGCCCGCTTGCTCTTCTATCAAACGCCTCCAAATTGCCCGCTGTCGACCAAAGACGTGGCCAGTATCGAGGGCGTCGCCGAAAACTACGTGGACTTTCTGCCCGATCCGAGGTAGCCAGCGCGGCGACCGCCTATGTTCATGCATGATATGCTGGATCCCATCGATAAACATGGGCACTAACAGCGGCGCCGGGTTCGACTCAAGTATAAGGCGAGATACGCCCCACTTGAAATATCGGAGGACCAACATGGGGTGCTGGTGCACGCAGGCTTCTGGGAAGACATGAATCCAAGCATTACGCAGACGGAAACCCGATGGGGATGGGTATACATCGCCGGCGTCGGTTGCAAACGTGAGTCCATTAGGTTCAGAGGGCGGGCTTGGTTCCTCTCCGGAGAGCAAGCGAATGCTTTCAGCCATTGTTGGCTGGAAGAGACCACCATGAGGTGAGTGGAACAGTCGATAGGTGGGCAAAACTTGACCAAGCGTGAAGAACGAAGACGTGAATTTCCTATCCATATGGATGGATTGTCAGTTCGGTCTGCCAGACATCAGAGTGAATGAAGTGATCACGTACTTCTTGAAGCATATGTCATGGGCTCCAAGGCCCCATCTGAGGTTGGCAGGGTCAAACGCATACTTTAAAGGCAACACACCCCACATCAGCGGATCATCCAGGCTGCGAACGAATAAGTCCATGAACTATTTCGAAACGAGCTGCATTACTTACACGCTAATGTGATTGGAAACTAAGCAGCTTGGCTATCAGTGATTGTGTGATTTGAGACGGCTCGTGGTGTTCGAGATGCATCTACCGGCGTACCTGTCAGAAGACCCTGCCGGCTCCCACCAGATCTCCTCTGATCCAGAAGCTTCAGGAAAGAAACAAGATTCTGCGTCTGGACAGTGTTCAGACCGTACAAAAGCGCCCTTGATATGGTCCCAGTCAAGCCCATGACGCCAGCTGAACCAAGACGCCATGCGAGGCTTCGCCTTGCAGGCCAGAGCTCGGAACAAGGCATCGTTACGGAAGGGGCGCTTTTAGGAAGGCGTGAGAGGCATTCATGACTGTAGGGTATTGTCCGGTCTGAGCTTGAGATTTTGAAGCCCTGTTGAACTGGGTAACTCGCCGACTAATTGGAATACAAAATAGACGCAAGATAAGGAGCATGTAGATCTCTGCCAGGGTTAGAAAAGTTAGCTCGAAACTTGGCCCCACGTCTAGATTACCTATGTCAAATAAAGCGTCGTTAAAATGAACCCTGCTTTTTCGAAACTTAATATACTAAATCCCTATTTTTCCGCTACCTTATAGGCTTAATATAAATCTTTTATTACGTAGATATAGTAGATTCGTATTATTAACCCTGCTCTTAACGATAACACTAACCGTATTATTTTTACTATATAGTGCCTTATACCCTCCTTACGATAGGATTATAACTTTGAGGCTAACCGACGGTAGCCTAATAGTAGGCTATCTTAGGACGAATTTTTAGCTTAGCTCCGCGATTAGATACTAGATAGTGATACTTAAGTTTTACGAGCGGTCTAACGTATATTCTATAAGGATTTATAGTAGGGTCCCCGTTAATTCTACGATAATTTTAAAGCTAAGTAGCGATTACTCGAATCCGAGCTCCTTATTCCCCTACCGGAGATTATCGGTATTATTTTTATAATCATAAAATTACAAGATAATTTACGCCCTTAGATTATTATATTAGGCGGCTTACCGATAACGTATCGTAAATTAGATTAACGGGCTAGATAGGCCGAATTAGTTTTTACTAAAAGTGGTAAATACGTAATTAACTACTAGTCGTGTAATAATTATTCTTAACGTCACGGTCGTAATAACGACTTCCGGGGAACTAAGCGTTCCTATAATAACGCTATTAATATTATTACTACCTAATAGCAGAATACTTAGCCTACTTCCGTACCTCTAATTCGTTATTCTATTAGTAAGATTACTTATTTTAAATATTATACGAAGGGCTATTACGCTAATACTTACCCGTAAAGATATTCTTTTTTATCTAGCTAATACTAGACTATTAGTAGTCTAACTAAACCTCCTCCTATTATTAGCTCTAATATTATCTCTATCCCTGCCCGTGTTATAGAGTTATATAATAATAACGATTAGGAATTATCCCTGTTATAGCCGAGCACTACTAACTCCACTATAGAGGTTAAAGTTAGTCTACGGCGGGGTAAAGAATAGATTAAGATCCTAGCTTTACTTAATAGTGGTATAGAATTTAGTCTAATCGACCGTTCTTCTTTAGGAGCTATTAGCGGCTTAGCGGCTAGCCTAGTATAAAATCTCTTTTAGACTTTAGGTAGAGCCGATATCTAGATTCAGACTTACGGCACCACTATTATACTTTTTAAAGCGATTAATAGTTAGTCGCTTACTAAAGTATAGAAGGAGGAATTTCGAATTATTAATATTACTACGAATATAAAATATAAAATTATTCTAGGCGGCACTTAGCTCCACGCCGTTAACCCTATTATTAACTAGCGGACTAACGAGTAGATCTACCCTTTATCCTCCGATTATTATTGTCTTATCTTTATACTAAAGTAGATTCGTTCGCCTAAATGTAACACGCGTTATACTATTATTTTATCTATAAACGAATATCTTTCTTCTTTACCACGGATTAGTAGAGTTATATTATCGGTTACTTAATAGGAGGAGCCTAGTAATCTAACTATTAATTCTAATATTCCTCCCTATTTATATAATATTCCTACTATTTATCACGAGTTTAAAGATATTTTTAATATCGATCGAGCAGCGTTACTTCCTAGTTATTAATAATAGGATTATACTATTTAACTAGAGGATAATAAGTGCCTATTATTTAGACTAAGTTACGTTTATATATTAACTACCGCGCCCTTAATAAGATTACTAGGAAGGATCGTACTCCCCTACCGTTAATTAGCGAGATACTTAACCGTTTAATTAGATCGAAAATCTATAGTAAATTAGATCTTAAGGATACTTACTATCGACTTCGAATTAAGGAAGGTGATAAATAGAAAACGGCTTTTCGTATTAAATATAGTTATTTCGAATACCTTATTATGCCTTTTAGACTTACTAATACCCCCGCTACGTTCTAGCGGTATATCAACTAAGCACTCTCCGGTCTTATTAACACTATTTACGTGGTTTATCTAGATAATATTCTTATCTATAGTCGTTCCCTTACTAAGTATCGGCGACACGTTAAATAAGTCCTATGCAGATTACGCGATTAGGACTTATACGTAAACGCCGAAAAATATAAATTTAAAATTAATAAGGTAGACTTCCTAGGGTTCCGCTATAGCCTAGTAGGTATTAAGATAAACCCCGATCGTGTGGATACGATTATTAATTAGCGACGGCCTATAACTATTCGCTAAATTTAAGTCTTTTTAGGATGTACAGGGTTTTACCGGCGTTTTATTTATAACTACTCTAAAATTATACGATTATTCACGGACTAATTACGTATCAGCGGCTATATACTAGCCGAACTACTAAAAGATTTTTATCGTGCTTTTAAATAACTTAAGGATACTTTTCTTTCTATACCCGTTTTACGGTATTTTAACCCCTTATTACTAATACGCCTTAAAACTAATACTTTTAATTTTACTATTAGTGCTATCCTAAGTTAACTAAAGGACCGTGTTTAGCGCCTAATTACTTTCCTTTCACGTAAGCTTAAAGGCGCTAAATTAAAGTATACTACTCCTAATACCGAGCTTATAGCTATTATAGAGGTGTGTTATCATTAGCGTTACTATATACTCTATAGCGCCTTTACTATTAACGTTCTAACGGACTACCTTAATTATTAGACGTTACTAGATAAACCTAAGCTTAGTAATAAGCACGTGCGCTGGCTTAATAAATTAAGCACTTATGATATTCGTATTATTCACTAACCGGGTAATAAGAACTCTACCAATAGTCTGTTGTAAAATCCTCTTTATCTTCCTGCTTCTAATAAACGTCTTATTACTACTTAGGAGGTGCTAGATAATTTCATATCTAAATTTTAAGTAGCCCCCGCCTAAGCACCGGATAAGTAATAGCTACCTAATATCCTTAATAATATTCACTAAGCTTAAAAAGAAGATAACTTTCTTACTTCCGGTAGATAGTTAATAGTTAATTAGCGAGAGCCTAATTTATAGACCCGTGGTACTAATAGTCGTATTTAATTCCGCGGTAAGGTCTATATTCCTCGATCTTCTAAGCTTTAGTTAATAATCCTTTAATTACACCACGATAACCCGACTATAGGTTACTAGGGAATTATAAAGATATTAAAACGAATTTAATAATCTTTTTATTAGCCTAGAATATCAACGGATATTCGCTAGTAGGTACCTAGCTACCCTCTTTAGTAATATACTAAATCTCGCACTTATACTCCTTATCGCGAACTAGCCCCTTTACCTATTCCGACCTAGCTATTTTAGTAAATTTTAATAGATTTTATTACCGGCCTACTACCTATTCAGTGGCCGGGGGGTAAGCAGAAAGATACTATTCTTATAGTTATCTATAGACTAACTAAATATTCCCTTTTTACTCCTACCTCTAGTAAGCTTATAGCTAAGGGGTTAGCGACTACCTTATAGCACTATATTTTTAAGGTATATAGTCTACCCGATAGTATTATCTCCAACTATAGAAGTCTTTTTATAAGTGCTTTTTAGCGCACGCTATACGGCTTACTATAAGTTAAACACCGCCTTTCCACTACGTACTACCTGTAGACTAATAGCTAAACCGAACGTATTAACTAAATTCTTAAGTATTACCTTCGCTCCTACGTTATATAATAATAAGATAATTAGGTTAATCTTTTAAACCTTACCGAATTTATATATAACACGTTATAGTATTCCGCTACTCGTTATTTACCCGCTAAGGCCCTAATAAGTTATAACCCCCGCGGCCCCTATACTCCTATACTATAAGTTAAACGGCCCTCTACGTTAGCAGAAGAGAGAGTAAAATAACTATCTCTTAACTACACGTTAATTTATAAGTAACTATTACTTAGTAATCGGGTAATAGCTAACTATTATAACTGTAAATATACACTAAAGGAGTTTTATTTACACGATAAGATTTTAGTATCTACTAAAAATATAAAAATTATACGCCTAAGTCAAAAATTATTATATAAATATATCGGGCCTTTTAAGATTATTAAGGTGATAGGTAATCACCGGTTCAGTTATAAGGTCGACCTTCCTAAGTATCTTCGGATTTATAATATTTTCCCTATTAGTTTGCTTAAGCCTTTTAACTAAGATAGCCGTGGAGCGCCGGCTAAGTAGCTATTAGATATTAAAGGGGAAAAGGAGAATAAGTTTAAGGTTAAAAGGATTTTAGGTATACGCTAGTACCCTAAACGCCGCTGCTACAAATTTCTTATTAAGTGAGAAGGTTATCCTGTAGAAGAAAATACTTAGAAACCTAAGTTATATCACTATAAAGATTTAGTTACGGAGTACCTCTCTAATTAGGCAACCGCTGATTTATAGTTATTAGCGGTATAATAATATTACTATTTTACTAAATTAACTACGTTCCTTTATATTACTGTTTTGTAGCTAATAATCTCTAGCCGCTATTTACGGATTTTCTATTAAAGCAAAATATATATAACTGCTAAGTCCTACTTATTTACCTATTAGCTAATAGTCTAAACCCAAAGGCTATATTTTCTTCTAGCTAGTCTAAACCTAGCGATGATATTCGTATTCTAGTCTAAACCCAGACGCTAATCTCCTGCTAGGTACTGGATATTCGTACGTTATCTACTCTTTTAGCACCGGTCTAAACCCGGTACTTTATATTAGTCTAAACCTAATAAACCTAACCCTAACTAATTACGGATTACCCCTTAATCCACGACATCGTTAAAATTATAATACCCACTCTTATAATAACTAATCAGTAATAGGTTATAAGTCAGGAGAATAAGGGGAATTACCCACCTTTTAGTTACTAGTAGGGACTCCCTTATTATCCTCCTTATCTATAATATCACTATAGCTATTATTTACCAGAGGAGGGGGTAGCCTAGGTACTAAAGCAATAATAGTGGTTCCGCTATTATTAAGTGCCTGACTACTTAGAT